ATCTTTAACTGCAAAGAGATTGCCATCAATGTTAACTCTCAATAGAGGTTTTCTCCCAAGTTCATCAGGTACCCAGTTAAAATCATTCAATCTCACAGAACACCCATTCTTAATGACCACATTCAAGTGATTCAGAAGGGTAGGGATGAAACAGGCCCAGGAGTTCCAAAGCCATGAAGCTCCATTAGTCTTCTGATAATCAAACATAAGAAGAAACTGGAAAGTACTTACCCTTTAAAACCTTGCTCATCAAAAGATCTGGCTGTTCAAGAACTCTCCAAATCTGTTTTAGGATCAGAGCCTTGTTGAAGAGTCTTATATCCTGGAATCCCAAACCTCCCTCAATCTTAGAACAAGCCATCTTATCCCATGACAACCAGTGCATTCCTTTCTCAAACCCTTCCCCTTTACTCCACCAGAATTTAGAAACAACTCTACACACCTCCAGACAAATCCCTTTAGGAAACACAAAGCAAGACATAACAAAAATAGGGAGGGCATTTAAGACAGATTTGACAAGCACCTCCCTCCCAGCAGTAGAGAGAAAATTATTTTTCCAGCTTTCAATCCTCACTTTAACAGCATCTACCACAAATTGAAAGGCATCAGATTTGGAGGCACCAATCCCCAAGGGCAACCCTAAGTATCTCGAGGATCTTTTAACCACAATCCCATTGAGGACAGAACATATAATTTGTTTTTGGACATCACTGCAGTTTCTACTCATGAACAGAGAGGATTTGCTCAGATTTACCTTTTGCCCTGAAAATTGCTGGTATTTTTGCAAAACTTCCAATAACATGGTGGCATGATCAGCATCTGCTCTACAAAATATTAGTGCATCATCAGCGAAGAGAAGATGGGACAACATAGGTCCCTCTTTTGCCACTTTAATGCCATGAAACAGCCCAGAATCCACTTTGAATTTCAGATAAGAAGAAAGAACCTCTGACACCAATATAAAAAGATAAGGTGAAATGGGATCACCCTGCCTTAACCCACGAGAAGGTTTGACAAACCCACCAACAGCTCCATTCAGATTAAAAGAAAAAGTAGAAGAGGAAATGCAGCTGTAGATCCACTTTATAAACACTGGATGGAACCCCATTCTAGCCATAGTGAGCTTAACACAATCCCACTCCACTCGGTCGTATGCCTTCTCCATATCCAGCTTTACTGCCATGAAATAGTTAGGGCCAGATCTATGTCTATGCAGAAAGTGGAAAACTTCATGTGCAATTACTACATTGTCTAATAATTGCCTCCCAGGGACAAAGGCAGTTTGAGCATGACTCACACAGACATGTAGGAAAGATTTGAGTCTTTCAGCCAGAATTTTAGCCACAATTTTATAGAGAACCCCGCATAGGCTAATTGGTCTATAATTATTCAGAAATTCAGGACAGAGACATTTGGGAATCAATGTAATAACTGTATGATTCCAATTCTTTAGCATGGTACCTGTGGAGAAAAAGCTCTGGATAGCACCACACACATCCCCCTTGATAAGGTGCCAGAAATGTTGGAAGAATGCAGCAGACATCCCATCCTCACCAGGGGATTTGTCAGGATTCATTAGAAAGAGTGCATTTTTTATCTCTTCCTCTTCTACATGGCTGATAAGAGCACTGTTCATGTCTGAGGATATACTAGGAGCAATGTGTTGAAGAACTTCCTCCCCTCCAACTGTCCCATCAGATGTAAACAATGAAGAATAAAAATCAGAAATATGTCTCTGGATGTCATCCTGGTTGACACACACCCTGCCAGTAGAGGTTAATAATTTGTGAATAGAGTTCCTCTTCCTTCTCTGAGCAGTATGGGCATGGAAGAATCGGGTGTTTCTATCCCCTAGCTTAAGCCATAATATTCTGGACTTTAATCTCCAGAACAGTTCTTCTTCTTTATGAGCATTATCAAGGTCTGCTCTGGTTTGTCCCCATTCTCCCCAGTCAACATTTTCCCCTTGCAGCCTCATGACCTCCAACTTCTCTGTGAGAACCTGAACAACTTTGGCATTGTCTCTTTTCAAAGGTTTAGCCCAAGCCAACAATGACATTCTAGTGTTCTTCACTTTCTCATGCACCATAAACATCTGGGACCCTTGAACAGAAATATCCCAACCAGCAACCACAGCCTCATTCACCCCTTCCATTTTCAGCCACCTGGGATCAAAAGTGAACCTCTTCCTCTTCTTTTGGAAATCCACCTCGGTATCAAACAACACCACATTGTGATCAGAGGCACTTTTGTAGAAATTAGAAGCCTCTATTTTAGAAAATCTTAAGCTCCATTCTGAAGAAACAAAAATCTTGTCTAATCTTTCTTCTACATAGCCTTCTTGCTGCCTATTCTTCCCCCAGGTATAGAAAGCCCCCTTCTGATCTATTTCATGCATATCCATATTAAGAATGAAGTTTCTGAAACCCACAAAGCTAGAATCAGATCTCTTCAACCCTCCTCTTTTCTCTTCATTGCATGTGAGGTCATTCCAATCCCCAAAGATAGCCCAACAATCACCCCAAAGGCTTTTTTGTATCTCAAGGAACTCTCGTTGTTGTCTTCTGATGTTTCTATCACAGTTAATGTACACAAAGATCATCCAGAACCAAGCTCCCCCTTTCTCTTCTCTGACTTCAGCTTGAATACTAAATTCATTACCCCACAAGGACCTGATTTCCACAGAGGGATCCCACATCACAAGCATTCCTCCTCTAGTGCCATTTGGAACCTCAAAGTGCCATCTATTCTCAAACCCAAGCTTCCTGCATACAGTTCTAGTAAATACATATGATTTTTTGACTTCAGATAAGAAAAATATATTAGGGTGGTGGAGTCTTCTGGCATCCTTGATTTGGGAAACTGTAGAGGGCCCACCCAACCCTCTACAATTCCACACCATAGCCTTCATTTGTCACCTCGGGGCCATTTAAGGCTGGCCTTCTCCACCTCCACTATATCAGTCATCATTTTCCTTCTTTTCTCCTCTGTCTCAGTAGTGCAATGCTCTCCTTCATCCCCAGAGAACACTATTAACTCTCTATTTCTTTTGTTGAAGGGAGGAATACTCTCATCAGGAACTTGCACCTCCATTCTCTAAAGTCTTCTGTCCATAGATGCCCTTCTCTTCCATGTAGCAACATGAGGATTTCTGGGTGGATCCCCAGTAGCCTGTTGTCCACCATCCTTCTGCCATTCCACCACCACATCACACTTATCATCCCCAGTTATAGTGTTTTCCACGACCATCAAGGCTGTCTCTGGGATGTCAGGTTCTACAACACTGCCCATAATACTGAGATTCTGCTGCACATTCTGTTCATTATCCTCAACCAAATCTTCACTAGCATCAAGATCCACCTTTCCTGTGCCATTATCACTACTTGACCCCAAGATTACAACTTGCTGGACTGAGGCTGGTGTGGCACTGTTAGAGACAACCGGTTCCACATTCGAATTATGGAAAGGTGGGGATTGATGATCACCAGAGTTGCTCGCATAGCTATGCCGCCCACCTGGAAAAGTCTCTGAGGTTTTTAGCCACTCCCCGAATTGACCATCAGTAACTTGATCCTTGTCGATGTCTACCATCTTCTTTTTGCAGTTCCTCTCAAGATGCCCCAAATAGCCACAGTAATAGCACAGATTAATAAGCCTTTCATATCGAAAGGCCACCCTGACACGCTGATCACCTAATTTTATTGTAGTACATCTGGGAATAGGTTCCTTAGTATTAATCACCGCCAGAATTTTAATGAAACTGCCCAAGGCTCCTCCTAGCTTGCAAACATTGACATTCTTCACCCCTTTAAAAATTCTTCCTATTTTGACACCTACATCGGTGCACATCCAGTTCAACGGAACATTTAACACTTGAACCCAGATTTTGACTTCATCGAAAGCACCATGATTACTAACCAGACCAGGGAACCATTCCTTGAGAACCAAATACTGGTTTTCATAAATCCAGTTATGTCCCGCAGCAACTTTATCTTTATCTTCAGTTGAGCTAAAGATAAACTGGAAGAAATTCATACTGAGCTCTTTTACCTCCATCGGCTGCTTAAGCTTCCATATGTATGACATAGCTCGCTTGATGCCCAACAGACTGGCCGGTCTATCACCCACATTTTACCAAACAAGCTCCTTTCACATTCCTCCTCACTAACTTTGACATCTGTCTTTTGGATTTCAATTTCGCCGGCCTCTTTTTCAGATAGAGAGAAATCAAACGTTTTCTGCACAACCTCCGCGTCTAGGTCACATTCTGTGGGCGTACCCGACGATTCCCCCTCCATCCCTTCGCACAAATCTATCGGAGAAGAAGAAGGAAAAAACAAGAACAACTACAACACCCGCAACACTCACTCCAAAAGAAAAAAACCCAGAAACCTCAGAATCACGAACGAAAAGGGGAAAAATCGGCTGCTCTCAAGAGAGAGAATTTTGGCTCTCAAGAGAGAGAATTTAGAGAGAGAGAGAGAGGATCATGTACATGGGACTAGGGTTTTCAACAAAGTTAGACTGGCCTGTATATTTATATAATAATATAAAATTACACATTAAAATAACATAAAATATAAATTCAAAAATTATTTATCAATATATATATAAACTGGAATATAAATGCAATACCATTTGTAATATCGGAGAACGGCATAGGATGTGAAGCATTCGATGAACTTCCCAATCCTGTAATCATTTGGCGCTTACTTAAAGTTTTTCCAGCACGGATAGCAGAATCCATAGTACCTAGTAAAAATAATAGGAATGCAATTATTTTCAATTTGTTTGTATAATCCATATTTGTAAGTACATATCATATACCATAGATTATAATTCATAATGGAAATATAAATTTTAGCAAGAAATACATATATCATATCATATAATATAATATAAAAGAAAAAAAAATATCCTAATGAAAATATTTGTAATAAATTATCATAAAATAATATAATGGATCACTACAATATTTAATATGTAAAAATATTAGGATAATTAGATCATTAAAATACAAACTTATAATCTAAAACAAACCCAATTAAAAACTTGTTTGGGCTGCATATCAATTTGTTCAAAAAATTCCATAAATTTGTTGTCCAAAGCCCATGTTGGTTTTTTTCGTCTGAATTGGGTTTTTATTAAAAAAAAAGGCCCAATATGTTTACTTGTTATGCATCCAACAGTCAGCATTGTTACACTTGTAATGATCGGACGGACACAATTTGTTTGGACAGTAAATAAAAGGAAAAAAAATTGTGTAGGTTATCTTCATTTGTCCTCTCACCCAGCACCGCCTTCTTCCATTTCTGTCGGATTTACCGACCAAAAAATTACAGAATTCCTAAAAAAAAAAACCAAATCCCTTCAAATCTTACCAATTTCAATTGAAAGAACAAATTTTTTGTAAGATCTATGTTTAATATACATAGATTTGTCCGAAATTTTTAATTTTTATCACCGTTCATGTTGTATTTTCATAAACAAACCTCATTCTTCTTATGTCATCGAAAGTGTTCGGGCCTGAAATGAATAATAAAGACATTTCTATGTTCGTCGGCCATCGGATTCCAACAGTAGATGAAGAAACAGAACCAAATCGACCAAGATTCAAAGGTTTATTTTTTTTTTAACGTTTTTTGTTAAATTGACAATTAATTTGACTCTGTACTTAATAGATCTGTGTTAGTACCAACTCAAATGTCCAGATCTGTGTAACTTTATAATTGTTTTTTTTCAAATTATCAAAAATCGGATAGTAGTATAAGCTATATGTCAGATTTATCTACTTAACTTCCAAAAATTTTGAGTTTTACGGACATCTTGTTGAAATGGACAATTAATTAAACCGTTTGTACATATCAGAACTTCCATAGAAATTTCACATGCGATTCAATCTTTTGTTTTTTTATGAAATGTGTGTGTCAGTGTAATGCTTGTGCGTTTTTACATGTTCTAATCAATAAATTTTTTCATTTTGTATAATTGTGTGCGAGCATGGTCCAATTTGAAGACCGTTAACGGTGAAACAACATAGAAACAGTGAATTTGAGGCCGGACATTCAACAGCTTTAAAACGACAATGAACGATGAAAACCAACGATCGACTACACGAAGGTTCGATTTTTTGTGGCTTTAGTTTTTGCAATAGTTCAGATTTATGCAATTTTTCGAAATGTTGTTTAATTTAGATGTTGACTTGAAAGGTGAAAACACAAATTTGAGAGCAGCAGTAGAGTTGAAATGGAAGCTGGGCACACACACTCAACAACATACGTATATATTAAAGGTTCGTAAAAACAGAAATTTAATCAATATACAAAAAAATTTAAAATACTGATTCCTAATCTTAGTCATTTTACATGGTATTAACATATTTTTTTTTTCACTGTACACAATGCATGTCCAATATGGAGATGAAACAAACAAAATAATGAACACGAAATCAAACAACACAATTGTTATGGCAATACGGTCTACAAACAGGTAAGGTACAGGTAAGGTACGGTCTACAAACAGGTAAAGTATTCAAAATTGATAAATCAATAAGAATAGTAGTAAGATTCAACAAAATATAGTAGTAAGTCCAGCAAGTGCATCATTCAGAAAATAATTAGGAAGAAATTTTACCTTGGAATATGTTTACTTCATTGGTTTTTTTGCTCTTTTTGTTGAATCCCTTGTGTATTGAATGGATTGACTCTGAGTTGAGCAAAGTCTCTACAATATTGTGCATGAAATAGGATTAGTAGGTATATAGTTTTAATTTATTACGCAATTAAAAGCTTAGGTAACAGAATCAGTTTGTTAATTTTGTGGTATTTAAAAGAAAATTACCAACTGAAGCTTGAATGATGGCATTATTCCTTTTAATACGTTTCTTGAATTCTTTATCTGCTTCTTTATCTGTTGGACTTGGTGAATTTGTACTGCTGTATTTTCTGAATGATGCACTTGCTGGACTTGTAATGCTATTTGTTCTGAATGTTGAACTTGCTGGACTTGTACTGCTTGTTGTTGTGAATGCTGAACTTGTAGTGCTTTTTGGTCTGCCTGCATCTCGGTCTGATATAGAGACTCGTATTCAAACATAATAAAAATTATATAAATTGATTAATAATGCAGAAAGAACAAACACATGTTTAATATTAGGAAGATGATGTCATACTTACTTGTAGTTCGACCTTTGTTTTTATTTGATACATTTGTTCTTAGACTGAATGGTATTGTTGGATCGGAATCCATTCAAGGAGTTCACAATGAATAGATCTCACAGCGAATTGATATTACAGAAACTCTAATGAAATCTGAAGATATAGAATGAAGATGACATAATACATAAGAGATGTAGACAGATGATATTTCTGAATATTAGAATAATATGTCAGACTATATCTTTGAAGAGTTTTTGTTTTACCAAAAGACTTGAGAAGCAGTTAAAAGCAGGACACTAATCGATTTATTGGAGAGAATATAGGATGGTTATGTATATTAAGGTAT